CAGGCGGCTGGCGCCCGGGCCCCGGGCCTGGCTTGTGCCCTCGGCACGGCCTGGGGGTCCCCGCCGCGCCCGAGGCGGGCGTTGAAGCCGCCGTGAACAGCCGCTTCCCCGCCCAGTGACCCTCCCTTTTCATTATTCTTGTGGTTTTTTTTTTTTTTTCTTTTTCCTACGCGTGTCAGGGAGTCAGTCCCAGCTGGAGGGACCCGCAGGTTAAGGATAAGGGGAGAAACAGATCCCCGGTGGGATCGCCTCAGCTGCGGCCCTGCCTGTGCCGGGGAGCACTGCCCTGTGCCCGGCTCTGCAGGGGTTTTACTATTTAAGAGCTGTTTTGCTATTTAGGAGCTTCTGAAAATCCAACGGCTTGCTGTCTGAGGTGTGCTTGGTGAGCGTAGCGCAGCTGTGCAGGGAGGCTGTGGGCTCGCGCTTGCAGCTGGAGCAGGAGACTTCCCAGGAGTTTTTTCTTTTACCTGCGGGAAGCACAGACTGTATTTCTCTCAGCCGTTGTCTCTCGTCGAGAATAAAGCGTGGGACAGTTGAATGCTAGTGACCTGCTTTGGTCCTTGTAGCTTTTCAGAGTTTGATTTTCCAGTTATAAGAGATGCTGAATTTAATTGTTCTGTGCCACTTTAAAAAAAGACCCACCCCAAAACATAGTTCAGCTGGAAATGAATAACCAGGCTGAAAGAGAAAGATGGGTTTTCCTTGGGAGACTGAAGAGGAGGTCTCTTCATCTGTTTTTCAGACAAGAAGGAAAAGACACATGAACTGTCCTCCTCGACAATTGCGGAAGAGTCTGAGCCTGTTTCATGTGTTCTGCAAGGAGATGACATCCAGGCGCTTGCAATTAAGGTGGAGGACCTGGAGAAAGTATGTATTTTTACTGACAGAAACAGCTGCTTTAACTGACACTCATTTTGTGTGTTTAACAGAGAGTGCTGTCCATATACTTAAACCAAAACCCACTCTTGGAGTTCAGTTCTCATTCCATTTTGTCTGTCCTGCTTTTTATGACTTGTCAGATCATCAGGTTCAGTTGCTAAAAGTAAAGGATTGTTGATCCTTACACAATCTTTTCAAATGGGAAGATAAGTCATCCACCTCTTCAGAATTACATTTCCAACTTTCTGGTCTAATAAGACATATAAGTTGTTTAGTTACTCTCACGGCATCCCTTCCAAAAATTGGGTCGAACTGTTGAGTGGAAGCATTTGACACCAAGTGACACAGCAGAAAACTATTGGGAAAGTGATATCAGCCTGTGCTGATATGATTTCTCTGTGTATCCTAGAAGGATCAGAAGGAATGAAGGTGAGTCAGTATGTACCTAACTGCATTGTGACTGTTTATTTTCTGAAGCTCCATGCTCCATACCTTCCTCATGATGCTGGGAGAATTCCAGTTAGGAAGAAATACCTTGTTCGAAAATATCGACCCAGAGAGACAAAGAAGGCAACACATCTCCTCGTAGCATGTCGTGCTTCCCCAAAAGCACACAGGGAACCACTGACTTTTTCTGGTAGAGTTAAACTTCATGTCTTATCTTTAGATTTTGGTTTTGCTAAGCCTAGCTTTAGCGACCTGGCTCTGGGATTGGGTTTTTTTGTGTGTGTGTGTTTGTTGTAGGACCAGGACTGTTTGGTGATGGCTGTGAAGAGATTCTCCCCCATCACATTTTGGGAAGTCTCCAGGAGTTCAAGATGGAAGCCTTAGCCAGAGGAAACACTCAGGTTGGTTTGTAAAGTTACAAAAATGCGGCACTTTTCTAGAGGTGGAGTGCAGTGCCTACAGTACCTTTCAGTGCTTTTCAGCACCTATCAGGAACAGGTCAGGCCTGAGGTGTGGTTTTCCCAGCCTCGTCATACTCTGCGGGGAGGGCTTGCCTTCAGAGAAACTGCACCAGCAGGTTTTGAAGTCCCGTGTGCAGGACGAGGTCGTGGAGGGAAGAATTATGCAGGCTTCCTCTTTCATATGTGCTTCTGCTGATGGCATCAGGCTTGCAAGGGAAGAGCTGGTGTTGCAGCAATGCCATTGCTCGAGTCTAATTACTCAGATAAATCCTTCCATTGTTTCTGAGTGTGTTCCTAGTGCTCTGTTTTTGTTCCCCTCAGAGTGATAAGGTGAAAGTACTGTCAATCTGAAGAATTCTTTTCTCCTCCCCTCTTCCGTTCTTGTTGCGGTGGCCGTGTGTGCATGGAGAGGTTAATTTAATGTTTCCTTTCTCTTCAGATAGCAGATTTTATTGAGGTTTCTCATCCAGATGTTACTGCAGCAGCTTTAAAAGAGGAACATGGAGGAGAGAAGAAGAAAAATGTTCATCAGACCCCACTGGCAGAGCACAAAGCTCTCCAGAACTGGCACCGTAATATGGCAATCAGGAAGAAGCAGGAGAAATATCTAGGAGGTGAGAAAAGCCAAGGCCTTGTTCTGTGAAACTCTGTGTGCAGATGGGGGAGTTCGATGGCACCACAACAAACTGTAATGGTCATAGCTGACTGGGGTTAATCCTATTGCTGTTGCAGTCTACTTCCATGTTCTCAGAGCTCCCCATGCTGCTAGTGCTAGTGGCCGTGGATGCTGTGGGGAAGTGAGCTGGTGGTTCTGGTTGAGGGAAGAACAGTGGATTTGGTGGGGGACAGTGTAGGGAAGTTACACATGAACAATAATAGTGGTAAAGGCTGTGCCCAGAGGAAGCGTAGCACCAATGATTTGGCCTTCCTTCTTTATAGAAATTCTTCAAAGGCCAGAGAATGAACTGCTCATGAGCATCTCAGAGGATTACAGGCAAATCCAGGAAGAACGTGACATCATTGACCGGAGTCTCCCTGCCCTGCTTCCTGGAAAGGTGAGAGACCCACTTCCTCTGCATCCTGATTGCTCTGTTCTTGTGAAAGAGCTAAGACGCTGGTGTTATGAGTAACATCTCTGAAGACCTATCATTAGATACTTATCAAAGCCACTATAAGTCCTTCAGCTGAGTGTGCAAGCAGGGTTTTCAGTAACTTCAAAAACAAAAACATGAACTGTGCTATCCGTACTAGTCAGAGGAAAGTGGTGGTGTCCTTTGGCTCCTTGCTAACAAACTGCTGTACATGGGCAAGTGCCACTTCTTGATTATCACCAAAGACTGTTGCACACTGGGAAGTGGCAGGGGTGCGTGCCACAATTGATGTTCCAGGGAGGGAAAGATCTGATAGCTTTAGGCTCAAATTTTAGTGATTGCCATGGAGAAAGGGGTATGGGTAAGTCAGGAGGATTATGGGAGTATCCTATGTTAAAATAATTTTTTTACACTTATAGCACTATCAAGGAATTTGCATTTATGTGAGGCATTATTTTAATATCATTCAACCTTCATGTTGCCCTAGCTAGAAGTAAGTCCTTTGTCTTTGACAGCAGCCTGGTAGAAATTTTGGCTTGTTCTGCAGAAAGTGGTAATTTATACGCTTCAAAATAGCCGTATAAGCAGAGTTAGACCCCGTTTTCTTTTTAGCTTCTAGTCCCTGTGAAAATAGCATGCAGCCGTATGCCTCTGAAAGTGTCAGTGGGAGTCTTGTTTTCCCCCATAGGGTTACCGAAGAGGAAGCGAGTTCTGGAGCCAGCCCGAGCGTATTGGAGATGAACTCACAGGCTTGACGATGACACTGACTCAGAGAGAACGTGGCTACCCAGAGCCAGTCACTCATGTGGGGAAGCCCCACACTGTCCGGATGGAAACGGGTAAGGAAGGGAATGTTGCAGAGAGCTGATTCCATAGAAATGGGGTACAAGTGTGGAGGGAGCAGCACAAAGAAACAGTGACTCCTGCGACTATGGAGGCTTCACATTATAGTTGTTCCTTGCGGTAGGTGCAGCACAAGCTGCTTCCCAGTCATCTGTTGGACCTCCTGTCTTTAAAACACCATGAGACCAAAGTCTACCAGAGAGTGAAATTAATAAGCATGTGGGTATGTAGACAATGAGCTCTTGTATGGGTATTTCCACAGGTGTGAAGCCTCCAAAGAGGATTCCTTTCCATCTAACCTGGGATAAAAGTCTTTTCCTGAAACATCGACGGCAGGAGCTAAAATCTGTCCTAGAGGAGCTAGATTTTTATAAGCCGGTAAGACTAGAGGAGTGAGGACATTCTTTGCATCTCTCGTCTTTTGTCAGATGCTGTAGAGTAACACAGAATTGCCAAGAACTGGATCTGAAAAAGCATTAGGAATCTAAAACTTAGCCCCACAGTACTTATCTTGGAAGTTTCCACATTTCCAAAGGGCCACACCCATGAAAGAGTTGTCTGGCCTCCCTAAGTGTTGCATGGAGTGGTCTAGGAGCCTCAGAATAGGAGCCCGAACCAGCAGCATGCAGCTGCCAAGAACTAGGCAATAAAAAAACCTGCCCAGTACTGGTGTAGGACTTTGATTTAGTGCCTCAGGGCAGAGGGAAGACACCTTTACCCACGTGGAAGACACGCATCTGAAATAATCTCCTGAAGGCAGGTAGCCCCTCCTCTTAAAAACGGAACAAACC